CCCCTGTCGCTTCCTTGGAGGGCAAGGCACGTGCATGGGCCATCTTGTTGTAGTAGCACACAACAGTACATACGCACTGATTAACCATTTCTGTTTGTCGCATTGGCCCAATTAGATCGATCCCAATCTACCAAAAATTTAAAATAAAAATGCGTTATTTCTGATTTTACATTAAATTCGTAGATGTTTAACTACATAAATAACTGAAAAATAAAGAAATTTCCACAAGTCTTAATGTTTTCTGTTAAAACAATATGACGATAACAACGAAAAACGATTTTCAATATCTATTTTTTCCAATTGAACACCACGATTAAGAGAAAAATTGTCTTGATTACCATCCTCCACGCCTCAGGCTTGTTCACGGGAATAGGGTAAAGCGGTGGAGAGCCGTTGTTGCTCTTTTTGTTGACACGCTGACATTTGTCACATTTTAAAATGAATTTTCTGATGTCGTCTACCATGTTTGGCCAATAATATCTCTGTTCAACCTTGGCCAGTGTCTTATCTTGTCCTAGGTGACCACCTTAAATTTAAAAACAAGGAAATTAATACATCGCATTTTATAGACACTTTTTTCAATGTCTGGAATTACGTCACACAAATAAAGCAACGTATACGCGGTATTGTGAAAACGGAATTCTTTTAATACAAACTTACCAAGCGGTGATGTATGCAGTGTATCCAAAATTTTTTTTCACTTCTTCCTTGTTTCTTACAACTTTTCGCCATACTCCACCATAATTATCATCATTATCATCCTGCCCTTCATCCCTGCCCTCCAGTTTAAAACTGAGAAAAGGAATCGTAAGCAGCTGTCCCCGGACCTAAAATCCCAGAAATGTTAGTCCCCTGGACCTAAAATCCTAGAAATGGTAGTCCCCCGGCCATAAATACCCATGAAATAGTAATCCCCTGCAGGACATTTATTCAAGGTACATAGGTCCATTGGACACACATGGAATTGTATATCTGCGTATAACGTAGTGTGACCTCCAATAATATTGCATATTTAACATCATGAAAATTGAAAGTTTACTTTATAATTAGACTTGCTTGTTCTCCGAATAACTCTTTTCTGTGTTGCTGTTGTCTCGATAGGATACGTGCCCTCCACAGCATCACGATCTCCTAATATGTTGAAACAATACATTGATATCATCCTTGAAACCTCTCTCAACCAACTTTAATGTTTCCAATATCTGTAATAAGCCGGTGTGAAGAAGTGAAGCTGTAGAAATAGATATCATTTAGAACGGATGTAGGACAAATGTAGTCACGTGATCCACTTTCCATTTACACCTCGAACAAAATCTTGCACAGGTCATTTGTATAACTCACAATTTGAGATTATACCAGTATTTATCTTTTATTTATACCCACATCAGAGTGAAAGACATAAAAGAATACATACATAAAATCGCACACAAAATCCCCATAGTAAGGTCACAAAATAAAAACGTTTTAATATAAGTAATAAAATCTTTCTACAATGTGCTCAGGTTAAAATATACGACAAAGGAGTATTAAATTGAATAAAATTTAAAGTAGCTTTGGTTAAAAGTTGAACCATGCTAAATTCAAATGCACCTGCATGTAAATGTGTCCTGATAGTGTTTGTTAGACCTGAGGACAGAGTGTCTATAGAGTACGAGTGGAGTATAAAGACCTAATAAGGTTTACATATAAAGTAAAAAAAAGCAGATCAATTAGTGTTTCTTGACGGGTAAACCCTGTAAGAATAGACCTTGCCAACTGACCACGTATAAAATTGCGGTAAGGAGTGTCGTGGGCTAAAACTCGTATTAGTAGCGATACAGTTGATGAAATGACGCTATGGCTCCATTTATAAATATCTAAAACATTTAAAATATGTGAGGTATGAATTCAAGAGCTAAGGCTCAAAAACGATAATCTTTAAATGCTTGGACGTAGTGCATAAGGCATTAAAACCACAAAACATCACTAAAGCTACAGTAGAGTGCCACAAGTAGGCCTTCGGCTTTGTATCTAAACCTGGAAAATTGACACCTGTAATATTAACTTTATACAATGCCCTATTTTCAGATCATCAGCAATACACTCTTTATTTAATGTCACAACTTAAATAACTAAAGAATCTGCATTTTCCATGGGATTCTGTCCTAAAAACCAGGTTGGGTGTTATTTCAATAAGGCTTTTCCAACTAGCTTATATTTAGAGTCTTTAAGGCTGAATTTCAATCTCCAACACAGGGAAAAGTCATGACGAGTTATTAACAGCTGGAGCCCAGGCATAGCAGTGGAGAATATTGTTATGTCATCCGCACAAGTGATATTATTAAACGTGTTCTTTCCGAATGAAACTCCAGCGTTTATAGCGGATAATTCCCTTAAGCCTAGGTCCCAACTACGTTTTGGACGCACGGTTTTTAGGTTCCTAGGTTCCGGCTAGGACGTAGCTAGATCGCATGTAGCAGCTGTTGATCATGTCGAAAAGTTACTACGTGCTGTTTGCGTCCTCCACAAATCGCACGAACTCCCACGTTTTCCACATTTTTTTCCGTAGACCACACGTAGCAGCGTGTTGGAACCAAGGCTTTAGCAAGCCGTCAACATATATATGTTAAAAAGAATTGAAGATAAAATATTACCCTGTCTTGTACCACAAAAATTTTTTAACTCATACTATGTGAACCATATGTGAACTTGTCCTATCGAAAGGTCACCACTGTCTCCGTCAAAATCCCTTCCTAAAATTCAGCGAATTCACTTGCAGATAATGACGAGTTCGGCTCAATAGATTCTAAGACTTGTCCACATTAATATTTTCTTACTAGCGAAAAACAGATGACTCAATTCGTTGATGCGTGAGTTAATTGTATTCTGGAAGTAAGAGCGACAAAACTTTCTGAAAAGACGGAAATGTGTCAATCTCAAACACCAAATATTCTGCAATAAATCCACGATCAATCAGATCCAAAGTAAGCCCAACACACTTAAAATACGTTATACAAAGTTGAAATACTTCTACTATATACATATATGCCCAACACACTTAAAATACGTTAAACAAAGCTGAAATACTTCTACTATATACATATATGCCCAGCACACTAAAAATACGTTATACAAAGATGAAATACTTCTACTATATACATATATGCCCAACACACTTAAAATACGTTATACAAAGTTGAAATACTTCTACTATATACATATATGCCCAACACACTTAAAATACGTTATACAAAAGTGAAATACTTCTACTATATACATATATGCCCAACACACTTAAAATACGTTATACAAAGATGAAATACTTCTACTATATACATATATGCCCAAC